ACGTCATTATAAGTGTTTGATCACCACATTTGAGTGATCATTGCAAAAAATGTGTTATATATATATATATATATACTGTTTATGTATATACTTTATTCTATATGTAGTACCAGTCAATTGATACTTTTGACTGGTATTGTATATCGATATCGGCCTTTTTTTTTAACTCCCTAATATCGGTATCGGCCCCAAAAAACCCATATCGGTCGGGCTCTACAAGCAGTGCTTTGTGTGAGGTTGAGATTTATTATGAACCGTTTGTTAATGTGATGAGCAGATCTCATAGATGTGTTGATTAGTAATTATTTAAGCCGTATATGACTCAACTGGCTGGTGCCTTATGTATCATGAGTAGAGGAGAAGAACTTTGTCTCAACTCTCTGCTCTCAGAGAGGTCAACACAAATGATGGCCATAGTGAAATGATGAGCGCTTCAAACCATGTGGAAACCCATCACACATTTTTTTTGTGTCTCTTCAGAGCAGGTTTGTTTCTCTCTAATTGCTCGTTATCTGTAAGAGAATGGCATTGTCATTTCTCACCTGTTTGTAGCAGCACAGGATTTGGATGACACTGTTTCCTGTACGGTCCAGGTGTGACTCAGCACCTGTCAGAGATGTCTCTGGTACTATGGTGTCCTCTTTTGTGCAGCTTGACTGACTGTAGACACTCCAGACAAAACATTTCCACCAGTACCACAAGGGCGTTGCTTTATATGCACAGCACAATTTTAATTTTGCGTGTCAGTGAGGATGTCAGAATATGACATTGTCTATTGATTATATATAACAGCCAGAGTTTGCAGTACGATCTGAATCAATGACATGATACACTTTTTTTTTTTTTTTGATTCACATCCATGAATTTTTTTTAATAAATGCATAAAAAATGTAATTCATACTTACGATACTTCATACTTACTTGAACATGAACATAGTAAAAATTACTATGGGGGGTGGGGGGGGGGACTTGGCATCATATTTTATAATTGCTGTATTTCCTAAAAAATAAGTGACAGAGTTTTAAATTATTATAATGTGTTTTGAAACCGTTTTGTCTGCCAAATGGGAGTCTTTTTGTGCAACCAACATGCAATGAAACTAAATGAAGCAAGAAATGAAATCAAAGAGAAATCGAGTTGTCAAGGTCAGCAAGTTTCCTAAAATATCAGATAATATATTTATATTATATCAGATAAAATACTTTTATGACAAGGCAAATTTATTTTAATTTGTTAAATGTAATGTGGAGTGACTCCCCAAAAATGAACTTTATTTTATTTTATGAATTAAATAGAATTCTTTAATATAATAAAAAAATACCGTAAAATATATTTAAAACGTTTTTTAAAAGGTGATTAAGGTGTGTACAAAGTGTGTATTCCAAGTGTAAGAAAAACATATTATTATTTAATTTACCACATGACATTTTTAAAGTCGTTCAAAATGAAACTTTTGAAAATGATATACCATAAAAACCAACATAAATACAGGATATATATATATATATATACATATATATTAGGGCTGCACGATAAATCGCATGCTCGTGCAGCCCTAATATATATGTATACGTATATGTATATATACATACAGGGATTGAAATGAACTTTTTCACTCACCAGCCAATTTGGCTACTAAATTTTTAAGTTACCGGCCATTCATAACTTCTACTAGCCAAAAAAAAGACAGAAATACACCAACAGTTTGAGGCCGTCTACACTGGGTGTGACAAAGCGACCGTTGCAAATCATTTTGTCAGTACTAGGGGTGTGCGATATTGGCAAAAAATAATATCTCAATATTTTCTGTGATTGCGGGCTTTCACACACAGACGTTGTTCACTGACGAGCTGCGCAAAACCACGTTCATATTCGCAAACCCACGTTCAGTCAGTGAACAACGGCTCTGTGTAGTTAATGCTGCTCAATGTGAAAGCCCGCAGGTGATAGAGATTTACCGCTGATTACAGAACCGGCTTTCTGACAAGATGCGCATTAAATATCACATGCGATTTATCGTGCAGCCCTAATATATATGTATACGTATATGTATATATACATACAGGGATTGAAATGAACTTTTTCACTCACCAGCCAATTTGGCTACTAAATTTTTAAGTTACCGGCCATTCATAACTTCTACTAGTCAAAAAAAAGACAGAAATACACCAACAGTTTGAGGCCGTCTACACTGGGTGTGACAAAGCGACCGTTGCAAATCATTTTGTCAGTACTAGGGGTGTGCGATATTGGCAAAAAATAATATCTCAATATTTTCTGTGATTTTATCAATAAAGATAATTAGACGATATTTTGCTGAGTGTGTTATTGTGCTGATATCTTAAGGACTACCATGGACCGCTGACTCCTAAAGATTTTGATATTCTTCATATTCTGTGGTCAGTTCACAGCAGTGATAGAAATTAATATTTTCCAATAATTTTTAATTGACTTTATAAAGTAATTTTTTTTCTAAAAGTGTACATCATCTTTTAAGTCAAATTCTTACATTTAATCAGTCAATCATAATAAGACATTTAGGCTGTTACTAAACAAATTAAATCAGTATCAATAAAATTTATCTTTGCAGAAGTTGCATATGAAGTGGCATTTAGATGCATTTACACGTTTATGCAGCTTAGAGGGACATGGAATGCTTTAAATGGCAGTTACAAGTGCATAAATAATGTTTTGATATTTAAAACATGAAATATTGAATACTGATATTTGAAATTATATAAAAAATGAAAAGATACTTTAAATGTGAAATTAAAACCGCCAGTAGGTGGCAGTAAGTCACTGTTAATAAGTGAGTCATTGCGATTGAACCAAATCATTTAAACGGTTGATTCATTCAGGAACAAAACACCGTCATGTTGCTCAGAGACGCAAAACAGTGCTGTGGCTGTGTTTGGAATGTTTTTTGTTAGCAAAATAGCACAGAAATAGCGCAAAAACAGCCAATGTGGTGTCTAAAATGTAAGTCTCTAGATATTAACTTATTGTTTATTGAACTGTTGTATAAAATAAATATCACATTTGTAACCATGCTGATTTTTTAAGAAAAAACGGCACTCTTCGTGTGATATTGATTAACTATATGAACTGATATAAATATATACATTTTCTGCCTCCTTATCTTGAAGTATGTGATCATTGTTAATGCATATTAATAGACTGAATCATGCAGCGAAAGAGCACACTATAAAAGCGCACGCGCACTAAATCCTGTGTTGGTCTAACCAGACTTCATCACGTTGCGTATGCGTGCCTCTGTAGGTGTGTTTTGTTTAGCTTTTGCAATATACTCGATAATGTCATGATGTCTCACGAGTTCAGTATTTGCGCTAAACCTGCGCAGATTTGACCTGCATGAACTTCCCCAAGAAATGAATGAGTGAACATAATTTACGAAAAGTAACCCGCCAAACTGGCTAGTGATTTGACCGCGTTACCCGCCACAGCTGATTTTTACCCACATTTGGCGGGTTGGCCGGTGTTAATTTCAAACCCTGTATACATACATACATACATACAGATCAATGACAAATAAGACACAATAAAACTTGTATTTTAAATTTTCAAAGATTATTTTTCCGCAGATCATATAATTTATGATGCTGTATTATTTTAGCATCATACATGAGCTGCTGTTTCTCTTTAAATGTATTATGCAGAGTGTTAATAACAATAGCGGAAGCAGCAGAAGGTCGACATCAAGTCTGACACACAGAGCTTCATGAACTTTATTTATTCAAACTCAGTTGAGTTTATTGTTCCTCATCTGTGCTCATCTCGACACTCTCCACCCCCGAAGAAGCCCCCACACACACACTTTGGACGATCAAGTGCAAACGTAATTACTGTCGAGTGCTGTCTAATTGGCCACCATTAAGCATTAAGCAAACATTTCCACACTCCAATGTCACCACACTGTCGTTTTAACTGTTATCGTCTCCCCCCGTTCGTCTGTCAGCGCCCTCAGCTCTGCCAAACACCATGACCACAAGACACTTTTAATGTTGAGCAGCTAATGAGAGGAGGAGTGGAAGGAAATCCACAAAGCCAGACGGGAGAAAAAAGAAGCAGAGAGCTGCCAAACTTTCTCTCCCTGTACTGTATATTTTTTTGACAGCTTTTCACAGATCTCAGCCTTTGGTGCCAAATTATTTGTCTGGTGGCTGGCTTGTGTAATTGCGTGGATGTCCTTCCCGCTTTCTGATCTATCGTTTATACAGACACAACTTCACACATGATCAATTCAGGCAAGAGCGGCCAAACAGGACGTTCCGTAATTAAAGTCAGTAGGTGGCTGTGAGCAAATTTAATTCATGTCCTATTTGAACCGAAATGATTAGTGCTGTTTGAGAGGACAAGCATCACTTTTGCTCATGGCACTATACTTATTTAGACTACACTGGGAGAGAAGTATATATGCATATAGATATAGACAGCAGATGCAGTCAGAGCTGCGCATGCAGAACTAAACCACTGAAATTCTGTTTTAGAACTTTGTAGTTTTATAAACTTTATAAACAGATACATACAGATGTGAAAGTGTGTTGTTCTTTTATGTGTGCGTGTCTCCGTCAGGTACCGAGAAAGTTCGTCAAGCTCAGGGCTGTAAACATCTCCATGTGGTGAATCCTGATTGGTTGTGGGCCTGTTTGGAGCGCTGGGAGCGAGTCGAGGAGCGACTCTTTCCGCTCAATGAGGACTATAACAAATCACACAGGTATTTATCTCTCGCAGTCTGTCTGTCTTTCCTGCTTTTCTCATCATTTATCATTTATATTCGTGTGTGCCTTTCAGCATTAAGATTGTAAAAACAATATTCTGTTTTTTCAGTATTTTGTCGTGTCTGCTGAACGTTTCATTGTGCTTGAACTGCACTCACTGAACTGCAACACCCATGAATAGAAAATGACAAAACCTTGCCAAACAATCTTTCAGCTTGTACTGACTCCTGCAATATTAAAGAATTATTAGATTAATGAGTTACCCAAAATATCTCTCATTTTGTTCCAAATGCACATGACTTGGAACACAAAAGGAGATGCCTTGCAGGTTGTTAATAGAAATGAATTGTGACCAGGACTAGGGGTGTCGAAATTAATCGTTTCTACGATGCATCGCGATGCAGACGAGGACGATTCGGTATCAGTTCATTAATAGACCATAACCGATTATAACGTACTGACGCTTTTCTGATGTCATTTGTTGTGTACGTGCTTTGTCGCGGTAGCATACAATGGCAGAGGGAGGCGAGACACGAGTAATTTAAAAATGCACCAACTACTTTAAAAGCCGACATCTGGGCACATTTCGGCTTTTATGAACAACTTGGTAAGCAGTGCATCGTCAATGCATCGTGATATCGAATTGAAATGAATCGATGACATTATAATCGGAACCGAACCGTGAGACCAGTATAGGTTCACACCCCTAGCTAGGACTGTCATGCAAGATCTTCAGTCATTCATCATTTGATATCATTTGGCTGCAGAAGACTTTGTAGCACATAACTACACTAAATTGATATGAACTACATTTGTTACCTTTAAGGCCCGTTCACAGCAAGGATGATGCCTATAATGCTAAAGATAAAGTTTTAAACATTCTAAATTTAAAAGAATAGCACACACCACAGATAACAATTATAACACCAAGGAACGATATAATTGGAATCACAGTTTTTTTCCAGCTGATGAACGCCAATCAGAATCCACCCGACTTTAAAGAGCTCGAGCACTTGAAGTGGCAGATGACTAAACTGCCTACTTGTTAACAGAACAGTATCATCTGTTGGTGTGGACTCTAATACAGTTATTGTTATAGTTATCCGAATAATTATTGTTCTTAGTGTGAACAGACCTTTACAGGGCTTTTTATGTGCTTTATGTAACCTGTTCACTTAAGACTTTAAGTGTAATTTTTGACTGATTTAATTTAATTTAATGTAAAATGGTTTCTATCGGAGTTGTTTGAAAAATAGTCTTAAGTGGTCATAAAAATGTCACCTTGACTGTTCATGGACAAAATTGACTAACTGTAGGAAATTAATGGGAATATATATATATTTTTTTTTTGTTGGAAAAACAAAATTATGTCAGGACACAATTTGTGTATTTGCTCGTACAAATAATGGTGAAATGGAAGATTTTATACCTAAAATCTAAATGACCTAAAATTCCAAAAGAAGTGCCTAATTTTATTGTTACTATATACAGTAGGGGTGTAACGGTACACTTTTTCGTATTGAACATTTTCGGTACGGGTCTTTCGGTTCAATACGCATGTGTACCGAACAAATACAGCATTGTTTTAATCACTGCATGAGCAGAACTTCATTTTAAAGGGGTCATATGATGTTGCTAAAAAGAACATTATTTTGTGTATTTGGTGTAATGAAATGTGTTTATCCGGTTTAAGGTTCAAAAACATAATTATGGATTATAATGACTTATACTGTCTTTTTACGCATTGCGTTGCATTGCGCCGCGTAAGCATAAAACCATGTCTTTGTCTTTTGGAAGACCAAACAAAGTAGTTTCGCTTTCACAATGCATCAGACAGCGCCTTCACGGCATGTTAGCGGCGGCAACAACAATACTACAGCGAGAATAAAAGTTACGCCTTCTTTCTTTGCGTGAACATTTGGGTGGTGTTATGCAAATCTTCCCACATCGTGACGTAGACATGTGGGGGCGTGTTAGATGAACCGTTTTAGGTAGGCGTGGCTGACTTAACTTTTATAAAGAATATCTCTTTGGTTTTGAGACTTTAGTCTTTGCAACTTTACAGATCTTCTTTATGCACCAAGAGCTTGTAACGCTCCAAAGAGAAAGGAAAAACTGAAATCGCATCATATGACCCCTTTAAACTTCAAGTTTTATATATTGTTACTTTTGATAAGAAACAAAGTCTCATCTTTCAATTTATGTCCATTTTATTCAGGAAATGAAAACAATAAATGCCGTTTTGGCGCTCTTTAATGAGACCGCATATAAACGCCTCAGTGTAAATGGCAGCGCGACCATCTCTTCCTCTTCACTACTAGTTTTAACGTGAAATAAACATGAATGAACATCTCAGGCCTCATGTAATCGCTCAATCAGTGTTTCACCTGCGGAAAGACGTAAGTAAAACAGCTTGTAAACAAAATGTCACGTAGCGTTTCATTTACCTCAGGAAGTCATCAGTGTCTGATGATTTACATGTTTGCATACATTTTTTTAAGTTGAGTGTTGATTATTATGTTTACAAATAAATAGTAGTCTAATTAAATTTAAGTTTGGGCTCTGTTGTTAATTGTAACCTTATAGTAAGCCTAATGTAAAAGGGCTCACTGTAGTTTAGAGCATAAGCTTAGGTAGATTTTTATCCCTAAGAAAATTAATTATAATTGAATTTATTTAAAGAAAGAGCACTTTGTTCAGTAAACCACTGTTTAATTAAAAAAAAACATTTTTTAGTGTTTCCACTGCTGGACCGAACCATGACGTCAAAACCGAAGTACGTACCGAACCGTCATGTTTGTGTACCGTTACACCCCTAATATACAGTACTTCACCCATCCCCACCCCCTGACTGTTGGGGGGTCATTTTGAACCTGAAAAAGTAAGTGTAAAAATGACCTGTAGTTTTATAAACTTTATAAACAGATACATACAGATGTGAAAGTGTGTTGTTCTTTTATGTGTGCGTGTCTCCGTCAGGTACCGAGAAAGTTCGTCAAGCTCAGGGCTGTAAACATCTCCATGTGGTGAATCCTGATTGGTTGTGGGCCTGTTTGGAGCGCTGGGAGCGAGTCGAGGAGCGACTCTTTCCGCTCAATGAGGACTATAACAAATCACACCGGTATTTATCTCTCGCAGTCTGTCTGTCTTTCCTGCTTTTCTCATCATTTATCATTTATATTCGTGTGTGCCTTTCAGCATTAAGATTGTAAAAACAATATTCTGTTTTTTCAGTATTTTGTCGTGTCTGCTGAACGTTTCATTGTGCTTGAACTGCACTCACTGAACTGCAACACCCATGAATAGAAAATGACAAAACCTTGCCAAACAATCTTTCAGCTTGTACTGACTCCTGCAATATTAAAGAATTATTAGATTAATGAGTTACCCAAAATATCTCTCATTTTGTTCCAAATGCACATGACTTGGAACACAAAAGGAGATGCCTTGCAGGTTGTTAATAGAAATGAATTGTGACCAGGACTAGGGGTGTCGAAATTAATCGTTTCTACGATGCATCGCGATGCAGACGAGGACGATTCGGTATCAGTTCATTAATAGACCATAACCGATTATAACGTACTGACGCTTTTCTGATGTCATTTGTTGTGTACGTGCTTTGTCGCGGTAGCATACAATGGCAGAGGGAGGCGAGACACGAGTAATTTAAAAATGCACCAACTACTTTAAAAGCCGACATCTGGGCACATTTCGGCTTTTATGAACAACTTGGTAAGCAGTGCATCGTCAATGCATCGTGATATCGAATTGAAATGAATCGATGACATTATAATCGGAACCGAACCGTGAGACCAGTATAGGTTCACACCCCTAGCTAGGACTGTCATGCAAGATCTTCAGTCATTCATCATTTGATATCATTTGGCTGCAGAAGACTTTGTAGCACATAACTACACTAAATTGATATGAACTACATTTGTTACCTTTAAGGCCCGTTCACAGCAAGGATGATGCCTATAATGCTAAAGATAAAGTTTTAAACATTCTAAATTTAAAAGAATAGCACACACCACAGATAACAATTATAACACCAAGGAACGATATAATTGGAATCACAGTTTTTTTCCAGCTGATGAACGCCAATCAGAATCCACCCGACTTTAAAGAGCTCGAGCACTTGAAGTGGCAGATGACTAAACTGCCTACTTGTTAACAGAACAGTATCATCTGTTGGTGTGGACTCTAATACAGTTATTGTTATAGTTATCCGAATAATTATTGTTCTTAGTGTGAACAGACCTTTACAGGGCTTTTTATGTGCTTTATGTAACCTGTTCACTTAAGACTTTAAGTGTAATTTTTGACTGATTTAATTTAATTTAATGTAAAATGGTTTCTATCGGAGTTGTTTGAAAAATAGTCTTAAGTGGTCATAAAAATGTCACCTTGACTGTTCATGGACAAAATTGACTAACTGTAGGAAATTAATGGGAATATATATATATTTTTTTTTTGTTGGAAAAACAAAATTATGTCAGGACACAATTTGTGTATTTGCTCGTACAAATAATGGTGAAATGGAAGATTTTATACCTAAAATCTAAATGACCTAAAATTCCAAAAGAAGTGCCTAATTTTATTGTTACTATATACAGTAGGGGTGTAACGGTACACTTTTTCGTATTGAACATTTTCGGTACGGGTCTTTCGGTTCAATACGCATGTGTACCGAACAAATACAGCATTGTTTTAATCACTGCATGAGCAGAACTTCATTTTAAAGGGGTCATATGATGTTGCTAAAAAGAACATTATTTTGTGTATTTGGTGTAATGAAATGTGTTTATCCGGTTTAAGGTTCAAAAACATAATTATGGATTATAATGACTTATACTGTCTTTTTACGCATTGCGTTGCATTGCGCCGCGTAAGCATAAAACCATGTCTTTGTCTTTTGGAAGACCAAACAAAGTAGTTTCGCTTTCACAATGCATCAGACAGCGCCTTCACGGCATGTTAGCGGCGGCAACAACAATACTACAGCGAGAATAAAAGTTACGCCTTCTTTCTTTGCGTGAACATTTGGGTGGTGTTATGCAAATCTTCCCACATCGTGACGTAGACATGTGGGGGCGTGTTAGATGAACCGTTTTAGGTAGGCGTGGCTGACTTAACTTTTATAAAGAATATCTCTTTGGTTTTGAGACTTTAGTCTTTGCAACTTTACAGATCTTCTTTATGCACCAAGAGCTTGTAACACTCCAAAGAGAAAGGAAAAACTGAAATCGCATCATATGACCCCTTTAAACTTCAAGTTTTATATATTGTTACTTTTGATAAGAAACAAAGTCTCATCTTTCAATTTATGTCCATTTTATTCAGGAAATGAAAACAATAAATGCCGTTTTGGCGCTCTTTAATGAGACCGCATATAAACGCCTCAGTGTAAATGGCAGCGCGACCATCTCTTCCTCTTCACTACTAGTTTTAACGTGAAATAAACATGAATGAACATCTCAGGCCTCATGTAATCGCTCAATCAGTGTTTCACCTGCGGAAAGACGTAAGTAAAACAGCTTGTAAACAAAATGTCACGTAGCGTTTCATTTACCTCAGGAAGTCATCAGTGTCTGATGATTTACATGTTTGCATACATTTTTTTAAGTTGAGTGTTGATTATTATGTTTACAAATAAATAGTAGTCTAATTAAATTTAAGTTTGGGCTCTGTTGTTAATTGTAACCTTATAGTAAGCCTAATGTAAAAGGGCTCACTGTAGTTTAGAGCATAAGCTTAGGTAGATTTTTATCCCTAAGAAAATTAATTATAATTGAATTTATTTAAAGAAAGAGCACTTTGTTCAGTAAACCACTGTTTAATTAAAAAAAAACATTTTTTAGTGTTTCCACTGCTGGACCGAACCATGACGTCAAAACCGAAGTACGTACCGAACCGTCATGTTTGTGTACCGTTACACCCCTAATATACAGTACTTCACCCATCCCCACCCCCTGACTGTTGGGGGGTCATTTTGAACCTGAAAAAGTAAGTGTAAAAATGACCACGAACAGTCAAGGTGTGACACTTTTTTAAAAAGCTTAGGAGGGTTCATTTTTAAGATTAGAGGTTAAACAACATCTTTTTCTGTCGTCCAGGAGCAATAGTCCCGCCACGTTTCCAGACATCCCTGGGTCCGTCCCGAAGCCTCTGTTCCAGGCCCCTCCTGTTCAGCAGAAGCCCCTGCCAGTGCTGGAAATGCGGACATATGACCCCGTCACCGGCAAACTGATCCGCCGGGGTCCCCAGGCCTCCCGTCCACCCTCTTATCTGCACTCGCATGGATCGTCCATGTCAGCCAAGGGAGATCTGTCCAGTCGCAGGTACTTCATATGTCTTAATGCGTTTATGTTTCTGTATGGCGCAGTTCATACTGATGTTCATCAAATTGAGTCACTAAATGTCAGACTCCGAATCATGAATATGTCTTATGGGTCTTTTTTGCAGATTCTGCACATTACCCAACATTTTTTATTTCTTAAGAGCAAGGGAATGTAATGTTATATTATACAAGTGCATCTCAATAAATTAGAATGCCGTGGAAAAGTTCGTTTATTTCAGTAATTCAACTCAAATTGTGAAATGATTATATATTTATTAGGCGTCTGAATGAAAGTCCAGTGGGAAATGTGCCTGGTTAGTAAAAACTTCCCTGATGGCGTTTAAGCGGGCTATAGCGGTCGTATGCTGTGCTTGTCTTTTTTCTTTCCCAGCTCATATTAGACTTCTCATGCAGTCTATTTCACATTAATCTCTAAGCTCTAAATAAAATCTGCAAGAAATAAAGCATTACGCCTTGGCAGCTCTGAGATTGTGAAACAGAAATTATTAGCAAATTTCATCAGCACATTTGGCCATTGCTGTGACAAGGGAATAATAAAAACAAGCCGGTAAATGCTGATCGAATGTGAGGAAGAAAAAAACGCACCACCTGCGTCAGCATCTGATGAGGACAGAAATAAATTAGAAAAGAAATAGTTCACCTTAGGAGCAGTCATTATTTACTCATAAGTTCCTGTATGACTTGGCTCAACTGCAGTGGAATATAGAAGGAGAACTTTTGAAGAATATCCTTTTCAGTATAATCAAAGTACACGAGGACTGCAGCTGTCAGGCTCAAATGACAACAAAAAGCATCATAAAAATTCGTCTGAACAACTTTTTTTTAAACTTATGTTTTGATCTGTTACACACATGAACATATTGGTAACACTTTACAATAAGGTTCATTAATTAACATTAGTTACATGAACTAAGAATGATCAGTATTTTAACAGCATTTATTAATCTTAGTTAATGTTAATTTCAGCAGTTACTAATGCATTATTAAAATCAAAAGTTATGCTTGATAACATTAGTTAATGCACTGTGAATTAACATGAACTAACAATGAACAGTTGTGCTTTTATTCATTCACGTTACAAATACTATAACAAATGTATTGCTCATTGTTAATTATGCATTGATTAATGTTAACTAATTGTAAAGTGTTACCTAAAAATCTTCCTTAGCCCAAACTTTTGGACTGTATACTATATTAGCTTAACCTTATGGTTTTGTAAAATGCCACCACTGATGTCTAGGCTTGCAAATCATAGAAACACACTAATATGCTTGATATACATGATAAAAAATTGAGATATACGTAGCACTGGCCCAATGTCAGCTGGCCTGCAGCTCTCTCACACTGACCCTAACCACAGCCGACCAATCTTATTGATGAGCCCTGGGTTTATAATGGCCTGAATAAACAATGGAGATGTTGGGTTTCTGTATTCTTTAATACAGAATGTAATTCTTTTTACCATTTTCATATGAATAATGCAGATCTACTGTCAGGGCTTCCATCCTGGTATTTGACAGTCACAGTAGACAAAGTAACTTCAGTTTATCAGTGTTTATAAGAGTTATTCTGTGTGGTTTGAGGCAACAGCAGAAAATCTCATTTTTTAGGTGACCGAAACAAATCCACTGAAGGTTTAGAAATGAGCTTATTAGCATAGTAATGATGCCAATGTGCTGTTTATAATCTATGTTTATAGATTCTTTATGACTCTCCCTCTTTTTTACCACTTATATTCTCTTTTCCACGCTGTTCCGTAGCCTGCATGTCAGTTGTGACACTTGAATGATTGGTGTGACGTAAAGTGGCAAAACTACTATTTTCCATTCTAATCAGCAAAAAGTTGCCTACACTCACACACTAAAAGGCCCCAATATAAGTGAAATCGAAGAATGAACAAATTAGGCCAAAAAGAAATTAATTTGGAGTTTGTTTCTGGAGTTCAAAACAGTTTGCCAAAATTAACTTTTAAGGTCTCTGTTCTAAGGATCTAACCTTTTTTGATGTGGAAATATTCTCCGGTTCATTTCTTCTGTTCAGTCTGTCGAAGTCAGACGTGAGTAGAAACATGAACATACTTAAAAAAAAAATTTAAAAACATATGTATACAGTGCACAGCATAAATGAGTACACCCGCTCTGAAACTTAACAAATTCAGCAATTACTCTTTGCTTAGAAGACATTTTATGTTTTTTTAGAGATATAATATTCCAGCAAGTCTGCTTGATCAGTTTCCAAAAAAAGAATGTTAAAATTAAAATACGATTTTCTTATCAAAGTGATAAAATGTTGTTGCAAAAATGAGTACACCCTCCTGAAAGTTACTAAATAAAAAAAATATATAGGTTTAAGGTTATTTTTGATCAACAGGTAAGTATATTGAACCAAAACTTTTAAAGACAAGTAATTTCCTGACAATTAAAAGTTTTATATAGCTCACTGACTCATACTCAGACTTAATGCTGGCAGCAGTGGAACCACTTGAGAGAGAACTGCCAGGTGACTTATTTCTTAGCATAAAAGAGGACAATGGTACAAGAGGAATACCAAATTATTGTTTTAAGTGTGAAAATATAGCAGAAGTTACACAGAAATTCAAAAACAATGGACTTGTGAAAAGGCCCCTGAAATAATCAGCTCTTCACTTTAAGCTTTCATTTAGTGATGAGTGAGTTTTTGCTAGAAAAAGAGCAGGAGAAACACTGAAGGTGTCTCAGAGCCGGCAAAAGCTGTGAAAAGAGTGACACTTTATCTCACAGAGTA